CAGGGTGCCACTGTGTTTGATTTGTTACGTGAGCAATATCTTAGCAAATAGAAAAGATGAGACCTTCTTATTTTATATTCTAGCTTGTCAGTATCTGTAATTTGATTTTCTAATTCGTATGAAACTATGGACTTAGTATTTTGACTTGACAAACATCTAACTTGAACCAGTTCTGCATTCAACATATCATGTGACACAAAATCGATGTTTATCTTTGTTTTTTTTTAATATTTACTTTTAAATTAACAAATTGAGTAATGTATAGTTCTAAAATTTATTGACATAAATTCATGAAATAATAGTTCAATAAAATTTTGAATGCGAGTCAACAAACGAGATGGCATGGCCTTTCACCTGTGATCCGTATCGAAAGGGTTAATGTGTTTCACACATCACTACTGCCATGTGACCAAGAAAAGCTGCCTACTTATGGTAATGACAACATGGTTCACTAGTTAAGCACTTTAAAAATGTTCTGACAGAGGAATCATTTGGCCTAATAACATGGAAATGGATTTCTCTAAAAATCTGGTTATCTGCTCGCAGAGAAGAGACACCTCATCATTAATACACACATCTGCACAAGAACCCTAACCACTTGTCTCACATCCTGGTGCTAGTAAATTTAGACCTTACACTCAACCCTTAAACAGCCATCTGTGAGAGAGGATATACCACATAAAAACATACTATCATACATCTTTGAAAGCTGAGACATTAAATGACCTGATGTTGCTGTTCACAAATGGCTGCAATATTAACAGCTTCTGTCCAGACAAAGTTGTGAAATGAGGCTCAACCATCAACATCACAACAGAATTCAATAGATGAAATGTTATTAACTCATCCTTTAGTTGATGAAGATATCTCATAGAAAAGCTGCATGGACAGTGAGGCTTGATTATAAGCTCACAGCAGAAAGATTTGATTAATATTTTGTTCAATGCATTAATATGACAGTAAAGAACCTTTTTCAGGCAGATTATGTGTACTTTAGAAGCATTGTGCAGACCTTAGTAACTGTGTCTTGAGCCTTTACAATTTGTAAAAAATACTGTTGAATGTGTATGTTTTTCAAGTTTACATAAGAACATAAAACAAATGATTTGTGTTAAGCTGTTTTTTTTTTTTACATTATCAGTGACTTTGTACAGTTAACAGTCTATATGATCAATTATCTGGTTAACTTGAATTTTTTGGAAAACCAATCACGAACAATGGCCAGACCAAAGAGTAAATACAATTATTGTAATTTTGTGACCCTTGCAAGATTACATAAAATGAGGTTAGCAAATGTCACTCCCAGGAATGATATCATGCTGATCTCATTAAAAAAAATTCATAATATTGCATCAAATAATGGGAAAGTACACAAATTTCATACATATATGTTTCACAATTTTCTATATGAATCCCATTAAAAATATTAGACTAACACATAATGCACAACATTTTTGAAATGTATTATACATCCCTACAAATTGGGAAAATTAAACAAGTGATTGATAAAATCTTACCTCATCATTATTTGAACCTTTGAAGTTATAAACAGCCTTTACAAGATATGGACCACCATCTGATGCCATTTTTTGGATGAAGATGTTCTTTAGGATTTCACATCCAATGGTTGAAGACAGTCATCGTCATACCTAGTTTCTATATCACATACAAAGCAAAAACAAAACTATCTGTTTACACCATCAAAATCTTGGCTTCATTTCTTTTAATTTTTTGTAAAAATAGACAGAATATAGAACTACTACGACAAATACAGTCAATTACCAGTAACTTTAAAACAAAGACAGTGTGATAAATATATTTTGCAGTAAATGGCATAACTTATGAACACAAATATACAAAAAATTGACTAATCACGCACTATTATTAACAAGACAAATTAGACCTTAAAGCAGCACCTGTTTCTGTCCAAGCAATGTCAAACTATGTGCATGCATTTATTTGTTATATTTAGACATATGTTATTTACATGTATAACTTTTATAATTATTACAGATGTTACTTCTAAAAATTTCTAAACCTATTTGCTTCAATGTCAAAACTACCAATATTTCTGGTGCTCATGATAATAAACTAAATACAAAAACAAACACAGATGAAATAATGCTTAATATGGGGGTCAAAGTGTATGAGCCACAATCTTTTACAGAGTGCTATTCCATGTATTATTATGTATTTGATGTCAGTTATCAACTATTCATTTTATTCTACATTGCTGATTTAGTGACAGTTCGTGGTAGAGGAGAGTAAATACCAGACAAAAGATGTATGGATGCTGAAAAATAATTCTTCAAACTTTATCATAAAAGATATTTCGAATAAAAAAAGACAAGTTATGTAACAGATGTAAATTTTTTTAGAAATGTATAAAAAACAAGTTAATGAATATTAACCAAGCTGAAACTGATTTGATATAATATAAAATGTAACTTTCTGATCAATATCAAAAATAAAATTGAAATTCTAAAAGGAAACAGTATTTTTAATGCCTTTTCAAATCATTATCTACAAATTTTGGAAATTTTACAACACTAAACATTGTATAGATAAACTAAACTAATTTATTTAAAATCTTTTAAGCTGAATTTAGATAATATTTAACAAGTCCTAAATTTCATGCAGTTTGGTTATGCATTTCTCGTGAGAAAGAAAAAATCAAAGAATATCAATGACACACACACAGTCCAGAAAGAGTGAAGGCTACAAAGACAGTTCAGTTAGCATTCAGATAACTGTCTCTAATATATTTCAACATTTTGCTGCTTGCAATAGGGAAATAGAAAATAAAGAAGTTTACATAGTGGGGGACTCTTTCATTAAGTTTACTGATAAATGTGTTGGTAGTGAGAAGCATATTAAAAGTTAGACTAGAATTTGCTTTCAAGATTCTAAAGTACAGGACATTACAGAGCATGTATAGTTTAGTTTCTGGTGCCAAGAAGCTTTCTTTTGTAGTGAATGGAAGAGTGAATAATGTTGGAAAATGTAGATCAGAAAAGGTTATTAAAGAGTTTAATGAACTTCTTTAAAGGTTTAGGGATAGAAACAAATGTGTGGCCCCTTCAGGCTAGATGTTAAAATAAGCTATTAAGCAGGATCCAAGGTTTAAATGAGATGATCACGGAAAGGGTAAATTATATGTTAAACGACAGACTCCACTTAACCAGGTTAGGCAATAGGATGTTTGCGAAGTCTTTAGAAGATATTCATTAAAGATAGCTTAACTTTAAGCACAACATCTGAAGTTAGATGCCAGCATCAGTAATCAAACAGTAATGTTTAATGATTTAAATAAAATGGACACTTTCAGCTTTGAACTTATAAACTTTCCATTCCCAAATATG